TTGTTTATATTTGCCGTTATGCGGCCTAGTGAAGCTGGGTGTTAACTCCCCCTCCTCTAAATCGAAGCGTCCCGTCTTCGAATATACATCAGTTATATTTTGAATTCTTAATGCAATATCATTAATTAATGTTTCTTTACAATTCTCATTTTTTAATTTTGCTTTGACTTTAATTTTCTTTCCTAATTTGCATAAAATGTACATGAATAACAGTATTACTAAGATTGTAGTAAATGACCACCAAATCGGTTTTTCTTCCATTTCCTGTTTAAATTGATTTAATATATTAATATTCCTTAATTTTAAATGCTCTTTTTCCGATTCGATGTATTCTTTAATATAAAAATTTTTAAATTTACCTTCCCTTAAATAATTCAAAATTTTTCCAGTAGGATTTTCAAATTCTGCATTATCAATGACAACTTTATTATTAAAAGTTACTAAATAAATTCCATCTATTGAATGATTATTAACGTTATGTTTTCCTGTTATTAATATAGCTCCATCTTTTATAATCTTTAATTGTTCATTTTTTTCTTTAATTTTGGTACAATTTGCTCTTTCATTATTTAAGATATTAGTTAAACAAGTTTGGTTTTTATTTATCATACAAAAAGCTTGATTTAATTCCTTCTTACAATTGTTCACTGAGTAAAATTCATTTTTGCATTTAATTACGTTATTTTCAATTAATAATTTTCCATCTTTTTGAGCGATAGCTTCTACATTAAACAACACACCTATATCCATAATTTTTGGATATTTTATATATATAATTATAACATCATTCATTTGTACTATTTTAAATTTTGATACATCCATTAAATCAGATATTGTAACATTCTTGACTTCATGATTAATTATATAATTAATTTCATCTAAATCTAAAATTATGGGATTTAAAATGCCAATTTTTGAAATTGTTATTGTTTGTAATAAGTTTTCCAATTCATTTATAACAAATTTATTTCTCTGTTTTTCTATTGAGGTTTTACTTATACTGTTTTGCAAGTCATTTACTATATGCGTTAAGTCCGTTATTGTTTTGAATAATTGGGAGTTTGTAGTAAATTGTCGATTATTATTTTCAACCAAATCATTCACTTTGTTTGTAATCTTTAAAAAGTCGTCATGGTCAGGAGTCCCTGCAATCCATTTCCACAATGTTCCTATTTCATTAATTCCTCTTCTGTGTCTATTTGAATTTTTTGTCAGTTGTCCCAAAAGGGTTTCCATTAGTTCAATTTCAAAATCGACTGTATCTTCATCTTCTAATATTATGTCGTATGGTTTCTTATAGTTTTCTATTATATCCCGGAAAACAGATAAATTTGTTAAATGAAAAATCGATTCATATTCCTCAAAAATTGCTGCGTTTCCTTCTTCAATTAGTACGTAGTTTTCCCTAGTATAGTCGATCAAATCAGCGTTTATTCCCCATGTCCATACAAAATATATGATTAAAAACATCATTCTCCCTAAAAATTAAACCTTAATATTATCTTTATGTATTATTCTATTTCTATTTTTTATTTTAACCTTGTCCCCTAAATCCTCACAAACTATTTGTTTCCTATATCTAGGCTTCAGTTTATTTCTTTCTCCAAATATTTTTTCGTATATTATTTCTTCTGGATGATAATTTTTATTTACTCTTTTCTTATTATGAAATTTTATAAGTCTTTCCTGTGCATCTTGTAATTTAGCTCTTACATCGGCATGTTTTTCCTTATTAAATAAAATACTATACGGCTGCTTCCCTGTTACTGAATGTATTGATTTATTGTATTGCTGTACTGCTCTAGTTATTGATTCTATATCACTTATCAGATTATGTTCTTGTTTTAAACATCTAGCAATTTCAATTATTGTAGAATGAAATCGCTCTATTTGCCCATTTGTAGTACTATGTCTTGGTGTGCAAAAGAAGATTTGTATATTTAATCTATTCATCAATGATTTAAATTGTGCCGTACAAAAACTAGGTTCATTATCTAGAATTATATTTTTGACATTTGGAAACGTTTGTAAAATCTCAAGAATTTTTTCGTCCATACCTACCTTATCCTCTATACGTTTTATAATTGCAAATTTCGAATACGCATCTATACAGGTAATAAATTTTAAATTTTGCGCAAAAAATATATCTATGTGCAATTGTTCTCCTTCATTATTAGGTATTGGTGCTTGGCCTATCGGAATTAGTTTGGGATGTCTTTCATACTTATTGCTATTACAAATATTGCAATTTTTAACGTACTGCTTAAATTGCTTAACCATCTGCGGCCAATAATATTGTTCCCGAATTTGTATTAGATTTTCTCTGTAATTGCGATGGGCTCGATTATGTGTCTGCTCTATGATAATTGCTTGATCCTCTCTATTAACAATATCATTAGGAAAATAACTAGCGTGTAAAAATTTTGTTGTTGGATAAGCGTTTTTTAGTATTAATTTGATTTCATAAATCACTTCTGGAGTACAATATATTCCTGTGACAATTTTAGGATTTAAGTATTCGGAAAGAACGGAAATAATATTTTCCGGCCTGTCGTATTCAATTAAAAAGCGATTGTTTCCAAAACATGAGACTCTTTCCTGAGTAGTAATTCTTGCGCCTTTATCTACTAATATCTGTTGCTTGAAATGATTTAATGGTTTCTTTGTTCGTTTAATTTGATAATCATCACTACTTTCAGCTGAATGTTGCGTGTTTGTAAGTGAATCACTTAAATCATCATTTGATTCCGTTAAATTATTTAATTGTTGTCTAGACAATGCGTCAGCAACAACATTTATTGCACCTGGTTTATAAATTATCTTTGGTGAGAATTCCTCAATAAACGCTCTCCATCTCTTCATTTTCACATTAGGATTTCTTTCAGACATTGCGAATGACAGTGGCTGATGGTCCGTGTGAATTTCTAAATCTTTTACGGCATAAAGGTAATGACGTAATCAGGGTTGCCACTTTGGTAAATTGTTACCAAAATTGGTAGAAAAAATTTGGGTTGGTAAAAAGGTACATTTTGTCTCATTTTGGTAGGTTTTTGATTAACTTTCCGTTCCCGATTTATTTTTCGTAGTTATCTTTAAATATATTATAAATTTCTTTGCATACTTTTTATATAATTACATACGTATTAATGTATATCGATATAAGGCGAACATATCGCGCTCCATTCAAAACTAATTTTACTGGAATCCGGAGGAGCTTTTGATTGCCTAAATATTTTAAATGTTTATTTAAATATAAAAAAAATTGACTGGTATGTAATTACGCACTATGATTGTTCGCAAAAAAAATTAAATCAACGCCATTTTTTATCAAAAAATAAAATCAACGGGAATTTTAAGCAGCACATTGTTGGCTATACTCAAATAGTATTTGTTTTAAAACCGCATACCTTAAATTATTCTAAAAATTCAGAGTAAAAAATTCGAAATTTAGACGAAAAATTTTGGAATTTTTCTATATGTTGTATATGGTTTGATCCTCGATTTTTGTGGATTTAGTTAAAGCAATAAAAAACTTTTACTCGAAAAATATTGCGAATATTAAAAAAAATAATTTTTTGAGTCACTGTATTTGTCTATAATAACTCGAGTTGAAGTTTTTCAAATATTGAAGTTTCATTGTTGCCTTTATTTTCATTACTTCCGCTTTTGGTTGAAAGAAACTCAGAATATGACAATAATATGACTCAAATACCGTATAACTAGTTAAATAAAAAGTTCTTGAAAACAATTTTAATTCTTGTTGAAATAACTAAAAAAAATAAAAAAAACTAGCTTTAATTAAAATAAATAAAAAAATAACAAAACTATAGTTTTTATTAAAATAATTATAAAAAAGTTATTGGTAGATATTTCCCAGATTTGGTAGATTTTTTTCTAGTGGATGGTAAATATTTTTTTTCGTCAGTGGCAACCCTGGACGTAATGTTTTTAATGCCCAAACGATAGCAAATAATTCCTTTTCGTTTGTCGCGTAATTTTGTTCAGTTGAACTCAATGTTTTTGAAATAAATGTTATTGGCCTTCCCTCTTGGGATAGGACTGCACCTACTGCCACATTGGAAGCATCAGTAGTCAAGATTAATTTTTTTTCAAAATTTGGTTGAACTAATTCAACTTGTTCTCGTAACGCGTCCTTTAAAGTTTCGCAAGCGACTATTCCTTCCTGGTCAAGATTAATATTTGTTTTCTTTGACATATATTGTGATATTTTACCATTTTCTCCTTTTAGGTGTTTAGTTAATGGTTTAGCTATTGTCGCATAATTCTCTATAAATTTCCTATAATATCCTGTCAATCCCAAGAATCCCCTAAGTTGCCTTAATGTTTTGGGATTTGGAAAATTTTTTATTGTTTCCACCTTTTTTGGATCGGTTTTTATAACTTTATGGGATACAACATATCCTAAAAATTCGACTTCCGTTTCTATAAATCTTGATTTTTCAATTGATATTTTCATATGAACTTTTTCAAGTGTTTCCACTATATGCCTTAAATGGTATATATGCTCTCTTAATGTTTTCGAATATATTATAATATCATCAATGTAAACATGACAGAATTTACCAATACATTGATGTAAAATATTATTCATTGCTCTCTGAAATATGCTTGGAGCATTTTTCAACCCAAAAGGCATCCGCAGATATTCATATTTTCCATTATTAACGGAAAATGCCGTTTTTTCTATGTCTTTATCTTCCATCAATATCTGATGAAATCCGGACTCCAAATCAATAGTTGAAAAATACTTTGCCTCCCCTAAATTAAAAAGTATAACCTCAGGATTGGGCATCGGGTACCTATCAGATATAGTTTTATCATTTAATTTTTTAAAGACTATGACCATCCTTAGTTTAGGACTCCCATCTTCGTTCATTCCCTTTTTAGGAACTACCCAAACAGGTGAATTATAAGGACTTTTACTATGCCTTATTATGCCTTTTTCTAACAAATTTTCAACTTCCTTATTAACAAAACTATTAGCAGATATAGAATATGGATATTGTTTCGACCATATAGGTTTTTCATCCTCAGTTCTAATTTCCGCCTTAATATCTGTTCTAAAAGGTAAATCCATGTTCACATTTTTATGAGCTTCTTTTATTATTTTAATAACATCTTCTCTTAACAAAGGAATGTTGATATTTTCAGTTTCCTTATTGCTGTTTATATATTTGGTGGCAAACTCTTCAATTTTATTACCATCACCAAATTCCAAATTATTAATTTCCAATATATTATTGGAATAAGCTTTAGAGGTTTCTTCCTCTAAACAATTTTTTATATTTTTTATTCTGTGCTGGTATGATTCATCAGCTGGCGTTGTAAGACCTTTTTGTCCCACATTTTTAATTTTATTTTCATTGTCGGTAATTTCATCGACTGGCGTTGTAAGACTTTTTTGTCCCACAGTTTTAACTTTATTTATTTTGTTGCCGGTATTATCGTCGGCGGGCGCCTCAGGACTCTCTCGTCCCGAGGGGTTTAAATTGTATGTAATCTTGCATTTTTTTGCTTCATTATTTGTATTGCCGGTAAAAACTTCGGCGGGCGTCTCAAGACTCTCTCGTCCCGAGGGGTTTAAGTTGCTATTTTTAATTTTAACAACATTATCGTTAACTTGGTACTTCTGTATTTTATTAGGATTATCTTCTTCCATGTTTAAGAAATATAATTTTTCTCTACATTTATCTCCATAAGCAAGCTCTGCCTTAACCATATCGATTCTGGCTTTAATTTTCTTCAAAAAATTAACTCCTATCAAGAAGTCACTTTCTAAATTATCTACTTCATAAAATCTTTCCATAAATCCAAACAGATGTACATTATGATAAAAGTTTATGATGGTCGAACCATGAATGGTTCTTACCCTCTTCTTAATTGCTAATTCCCTACCATTGTTATATATTCCCTTTCTAATGTAACAGCTCGTTGCACCAGTGTCTATTAATATCCTCATTGTTCTTCCAAGCTGTCTGTCCGTTCGGAATATGTAGGGCAGGTGGAGGTTTGCTCTAAAAAATGATTCTCATTTAAATTATTTATACGCTGTGCCTTCAACTGCGGTTGACCACTAAAATTCATGTGTCTTTTTATCGGTTGACTAAACTGCCATTTTTGTGCGGCTGCATTTTGTTGCTGATTCGGGAAAACTCTTGGTTGAGGTGTTTGGTTATAAACAATTGGCTTTTGTTGTGCATATGGCACATTATTGGATGACGTATCCATTGGTTCTGGTTTTGGGAAATTTGTGTTGAGATTATTTCCCACTTGAGGATATCTTAAATTATTTTGGAAATGATTTCCTGTTTTTTGGTGATTATTTCTAGGACCTCGCAAATTATTATGAAAACCTTTATTTTCCGTTGCGTATGTCCTTGAAAAATTTAACGCGAATTCTGAACGCATTTGATTTGAGTGCAGCTCCTGTGCCTTTGCAAGAGCGTTTGGCAAATCGGTGGGAGATAATGTAAATAGAATTTGATTTAATGGGGGGTTTAAACCCGTTATGAAAGTTCTTAAAGCAGTTTCACGATTCTTAATATTCAATTGCTTTGTTATTTCCGAGTTCGTGCCGTGTGTCATTATAGTTTTGTTAATCAGTAATGTTAATTTCTGATTAACCTCGTTATAATAATCTATTAAGGATTTCGATCCTTGTCTTAATATGCTCATTTCTTGATCAATTACGTGAATTGGTCGTCTATCGGCGTAGGCAAAATCTAATCTAGCAAATATTGCCTCTAAGTTTAACACGGTGCCGTGATTGGTAAGAATATCATTTGCATTACCCACTATCTTATTTCGAAGAATGGTCAGTGCTCCGAAATACTTCCTACTTCCTTCTATATATAAACTCATCGAATTCTTTGCAGCTTCTCTCCAACTAACATATGATTTACCAGAGAATTCCGGCAAGGATTTGATGATATCTAAACTTTCAGTACATGATATTGCGTCATTAATAGTCTGAGTGTGGTATTCGGTCACTTGTGTAGCATTGGTCAAATTCCTAATTTGATTTGTCAACTGCGCTATCTCAGTCCTTAAATTGGTTGTTTGTGTAGCTATTAATCTAGCTATATCCTCGGCAGAAAAATTATTAACCGACATTTTGGAAAATTTAATGACTAATTCTTCCAGTTTAATATTTTAAAAGCTTATTTATATTTTTTCAAATATGGGCATTTATTAGTATTATGACTACTGCCTAAACAATACTCACAATAATAGAGCCTTTCAAATTTAATTTTTGTGGGATAATTTCCCATTTGATTTTTAAATTTGCTTAATAGTAATAAAATATATAAAATAAACTATTCTTACATATATAAATGGTGCTGTTGTCTTAAAATTCCGATGGAACGCCAATTGCTGCTTTTCTGTACTTAACGTTCTCTGGTGTCCCACGGTGGCGACGCTTTGACTTAGCGCACAATGCCTCTTTCGGGTTTTTTTTAATAAAATTTTAGTGTCCTTTTTTTTGTTTTTGCTATCTTTCTCAGCGCACAGTCTTTTTAAATGTTCTTGGGTTTTTTGCTTTTTCACTTTACACACCAGTTACTAAACAGTTAGTTTTTCCCCCTTATCTATGGGATATTTATTTTTTATTTTTTTAATTTGATTTATTTCACTTTTCTCCCTTTTTTACGGGATACTTGTTTTTTTATTTAATTTTGTTTTTTTTGGGTTTTTTCTCCCTTTTTAACGGGATACTTTTTTTATTTAATTTTGTCTTTTTGGGTTTTTCTCCCTTTTTCACGGGATACTTTTTTAAATTTAATTTTGTTTTTTTTGGGTTTTTCTCCCTTTTTCACGGGATACTTTTTTAAATTTGTTTTATTTAACTTTTCTCCCTTTTTTTGCGGGATACTTGTTTTTTTATTTAATGGACTATGATATACCCTTTCGCACAAGGTTTACATATATCAAGTCCTCCTGGAACGTTACTAGCCGTACTTCCTTTCGGGCTGTTACTTCACGTTCTCCTGGCAGGATCGCCAATTAATTGTTTAAACACACATTTGGTGTTTTTAAAAATATATCGGACAGCGTGTCCGTTTATTTCCGAATCTTTTCTCTTACTAGCTACTTTGACAATAATTTCTTATTTTATACCAATCTTAACTCTAACAAGAAATGCCGAAGCCGCATTTCTTGGAATTTTTTGTTTACATAAAATTCTCAAATGAAATTAAATTCCTTTTTAGTTTACAAATTCTTACAATGGTTTCATATTTCTGCATATGTGACAAATAAATGTGTCACATGCAACAGTTATTTATGTGTTTGCATTCTCAGCATTGGAATGCCATAAATATTACGACTTCTAATGAGTACCATTTAGGTACTTGAGTTTTATGATATCCATTTACATTTGCCGTTGTGTGGTCCAGTGAAGCTGGGCATTGATTTCTATTGAGTACCATTTAGGTACTTGAGTTTTAGGATATTTGTTTATATTTGCCGTTATGCGGCCTAGTGAAGCTGGGTGTTAACTTGCATTACTTCGTTTTTCTCATATGCGTTATTTCGGTTTTCAAACGAAAGTGTGCATGTATGCATTATTTCGGGTTTTTCATATGCATTATTTCGGTTTTCAACCGAAACTGTGCATATATGCATTATTTCGGTTTTTTTCATATGCATTATTTCGGTTTTCAAACGAAAGAGTGCGTATGCATAATTTCGGTTTTCCTAGTATGCATTATTGCGGTTTTCAACCGAGACTGTGCATATATGCATTATTTCGGTTTTTTTCATATGCATTATTTCGGCTTTCAACCGAAACTGCGCATATATGCATTATTTCGGTTTTTTTCGTATGCATTATTTCGGTTTTTTTCATATGCATTATTTCGTATGCACAGTTTCCATATGCACAATTTCAGGGTGCCGTTTTGGCTATTTTTCCTTTGTTCATTTATGTTTATTTTTTAAGCATATAAGTCCAAGCCTTAAACTTAGTGAAAAAATTATAAATATTCTGCACTGTTTCATCTAAATTGCAAATATTTTAATGAGAATTTCTAGGGAAAATTTTTAAGTTTTAAGTTGATTTTTGACAATTTTTATTTTTTTTTTACATTTTTCAATTTTTTGTATGGAATAAAATGAATAATACCTTCAACAAAAAAATTATTTAAAATCAACGCGATTAAGGCGAAATTAGACAAATTTTAATACACTTATTAAGGTTAGGACAAAGGTGAGCCTAGCTAGTCGGGTAGACAAAACAGCATAATCAGAATTTTGAATTGATCCTCAAAATCTTGGCTTAATATTGAAACCCTAATTTTCAATAGGTTGGAGTTTACACTATATAGGCCTCAACTTCATATGTACAAGTATACCTATGGTCGAAATAATATGAGTGCGGCATTGGACTATTTTTCTTTTGTTGGTTTAATGTTCACAAATTTTTTATAAAAGTATAGCTCGTTATATAATAACAAGCACATAAATCCAAATTTCAAACTTTGTATGAAAATTTGAAAAACTGCGAACTTCAATAACGTTGCATCAAAGCTCCAAACTTTTTAACCAGAAATAAAAAATCGAGTTTTTGAAATTTTGTTTTTGCTGGCGTTGTTAAGCATTTTTACATATTAGAAAAAAAATCAAGCATTCTTTATATGGACGAAATTACAACTCGCGTAGTAGCCATTACACAAAACAAATTTCTGCAGTTTTACTATACCGGTTGCATTTTTAGACAAATTTGTGTATTACAAAACTTGAAAAATGCTGTAGTGGATTTTCATTTTGAACCGAACCGAACCATTTTTTTGGGATGGGTTTCGGTTCGGTTTTGGTATTTAAAAATAAAAACGGTTCGGTTCGTGGTTCGGTTCGAAGCCCGGAAAAAGCGACGGTTCGGTTCAAAAACCGGTTCGGTTCAAAACCGGTTTGCAGCCCTGCTTTAAACGACGATATATAAATATTAGGGCGGGTCGAAAATCTAATTTTTCTCAAATCGCTTGGTCATAGTGAAAATAGATTGTATCATGAAGTCAACAACAAGCCTGCAAAATATTAGTCTTTTATTTTAATTGTAAGAGCCCGCGCATCGACCGCCAAGTGATCAACAGCACACTAGTCGAATAAGACCAATTCTTGTTAAAAATTCTATGTTCAGCAAAAAGGTTTAGTGCATATTATTAGATAATGAATTCGTTAACGCCAAAGATAAAGTAAAATATCATTCCTCGCAGCTCTTATGCTTATCGTTAATCTCAAAGTTATATTTTTTCAATAAAATTTGAATTGTTCTCTTGATAATTGCATTGGCCTATAGTCAAAAGATGTAAAGAACAGCATTAATATTGCTGGCGTACATTTAGGTCGCTGGTCCCAAATATTCTAATCTTTTTTTTTAATATTAGCTATAGTATGCGAATTTAGGAACAATATCGGTAGCTCTAATAGAAAAGCCATTACTTTCCATCATCGTGGAAAAATTTTGTTTACGAAAAAGAGTATGAAAACACTGAACAGGCACAACTTCTTGAAAGACTAATTAGTTACTTACATATGTTTATGCATGCAATATAAAAATTGCAAATATAGGAAAATTACAAAAAATTTTGTTCAAACCTTTTTTTTATTTTAAAATAATTTGTTTATAATCTGAACGATTTTCATCATAATATTATCATA